CACGTTTTTTTTTTTTTTTTCCCGCCCACACTTACAACCCCCCAAACCACGCCACCCATTTGCACACACACATACACACATACATACACACACACATACACACACACATACACACACACATACACACACACACATACACACACACATACACACACACATTTATACACACACACACACTCACACACACATTCACGCACGCACATGCACACACAAATTCACACCCTCGCACACACACGGGCACATTTTTTTTTTTTTTTTTTCCGCCAACACTTACAACCCCCCAAACTGCGCCACCCATTTACACACAAAAATACATACACACATTCACACACACACTGCGACATTTGTTTTAATTTTTTTTTCCAAAATATTTGTTTTTTTATTTTTAATATCGCAAAACAAGCGGTTTGAGAAATTAAAAAAAGGGTTGTAGGCAAAACAAAAAAAAAGGTGGTTTGGGGGGTGTGTGGGTGAGGGTGGGTTGGGGGGGACGGGAGGGTTTGGGTTTTGAGGGGCCTGAAAGCACTTTGGGGGTTTGGGTTTCGTGCGTGTTCAAATCGCGCCAAACCCAAACCCCCCAAGTCCGCCCACGCCCCCGAACCAAGGTTTTTGTGGTGCTCATACAGTGGGAAGTGAGATTTCAAAGACATCAGGGGCGGACTCAATGCACACAAAACACTCGTCGTCTGAAAACAGGAACATCGCAAACGCCAAGATATAATCAAAGCAAAACGCAAACCAATATAGCATGGATAATAACAAAAATCAGACACGTCGTGTCGAAGCCTCGCGAGTCTATGGAAAGAAGTATCAACCCAAAAATGTCGATGAAAAAGTAGACTAAAAACACACTAAAAAGATACTATCCCTGAAGTACCGAACTGCGCTGAAAATTACGACTGAAAAGTAGACTATAATACAACATCACGAATTTAAAACACTACGTCTGTCATGGATAACAAAAAACTGAACTACACTGAGAAAGTCAAGAAAACGCAAGTTCGTACTCCATCAAAAATCGTTGTGTGCACGCGGATCTCGCTCGGACCGATGAGAACCTCGTCCGTGGGACCGACCACTGCCACGTCCTCGATCTCTGTGACGCTGCCCCCCGCGTCTGGCAGTGGAAGGCTCGAGAGCGACGGGACGCTCGTCGGGGTCGTCGTCCATAATGACTCTCCTGCCTCTCACCGTCCTGGTGCCTGCGGCTGCTAGGTCGTCACGTCGGCGTGACTCGCTTGCCATAGGTAGAGCGTCTGTCCCTGAAGTCTCCCCCTCGTGGCGTCGATCTAAGGGCACGTGTTGGGCCTGCCTCGGTCGTGTAACAACGTCAGGCTCTTGCAAAATAATCGACGCCTCTCTCAAACCGTACGTCAAGGGCGAATCCACTGCGCTCGCCGCGGCACCGCATGCGCCCTCATGTCTGTCGTCGCCATCGCCACCGCTGCCACCGCCGCCACCGCCTCTACCGCCAAACCCTGAAGCTACAACATCTCGACGTCTCACGCTTATGGAAACCCCTCTCAAAGCTGGCTGACAACCGGCACTCGCCGTCGTCACCCGTCTCGTCTCACTCCATGGCCGATCACTGCGACCAAACAACATGGTGTCCAGCAAGGTCCGCGCACGCTCGGTAGTGTCTCTCCGTCTACAGGCAGCCGACCTCGGGGTGAGACTGCCTCCCTCCCTCGGAGCTACGGTCGCGGGTGACGAAGGGTCTGCAGCCCCGCCAGATGGCGCTGCAATGGAACCTCCAGAAGGTAAGCCCCCTGCAGCACCGCCAGATGGCGCTGCGACGGAACGTCCAAAAGGTAAGCCCCCTGCAGCCCCGCCAGATGGCGCTGCGACGGAACCTCCAGAAGGTAAGCCCCCTGCAGCCCCGCCAGATGGCGCTGCGACGGAACCTCCAGAAGGTAAGCTGGGGCTGGCTGGCCCCCAAAACAAGTCCTACACGTGAGGCAGCTTCCCCTCCTTTGGGAATGACCTGAAAATGCACTGCTTGATCTCCGTCAAATCTGTCCTCCCGTGCTCCTCCAACTCCTCAGCGGTCATAAACCAAAAGGGAGGCTGCCCCGAGGTGTAGCCACATACGTAATCTCCGGCCTCGCCCGTGACGGCGCAAAAGTAGGGATCAGAGGTATGCACGCGCCCTTACCTATACTCGCTCCTCGACCGGGCCACCGCCATGTGCACGACGCCTATGGTCCTCCAAAAACGGTGCCTGATGTGGCACCACTGGCCCCACAGCAGTGCGAACCACCAAAGTCTTTGCGTCACGTCTGTCGAACTGTGCGGGATCTCCCCCCCCAGACGTGGACATCGGATCGGCCTGAACAGGCACCCCCACCCCGCCAACATCAACCGCCCCCGCTACGCCCCCCTCCCCCCCGGTGGTCGGTGCTATCCCCTCCGCCTGTGCCGATGGGCGAATATCATCAATGCCCACTGACTGCCCCGTCTGTATGTCCTCCAGACCCGGGGACATCTGCACGACACCCTCAACTAAACCCGTGGCCAGAGGCACGCCCGCGACCTCATGCAACGTCTCCTCGGGCCTCAGCTGGACGGCAGGAGGCTGCACGGCTCCGTACGTGGCTCCTCTATTGGTGCCAACCCGCTCTCGTGCGTCCCCTGCCGAACATCCACTCCCATACTCGAAGCCTCGGCTAAAGCCGCCTCCCGCTGCGTCGTATCGTGAACCTCTGCCAGAGGATCCGTGTGGGCACCAGGCGCTACGTCAAGGGACGCCGGCGTAAATGTACCCAACTGTCTCCGTCGCTCCTACGCCGCAACAAGGGCAAACTCCTGCGTCCTGGGGTCCCTCTGCGCCATGAGGCCAGCTCGACGACTATCAAGCCTATCCAACCTCTCTGCAGATGTCTCTCCAGGGGGTGTCCGGTCCTTATCCCCCTCTGCCCCCGACATCACCTCTATGCATATGGCAGGGGAGAAACTGTTCGGGTCCAGGAAGCTGATCTGTCCCAATAAGGCCTGCATACCCACACTGATGTCCCCACGGGACTCCCTCTCTCCCCGAGGAAGACCCATGCTCTCTCCCGGGGGCATACCCATGTCACCAAACTCACTGAAACCGCATCCGCCACCCATCGGTATCCCCTCATCCCCGCCACTCTGAATCTCGTGCGCCTCAACCGCCGCAGCAACCTCGGCACCGCCTCCACCTCCGGCCAACGCACCACCATCTCCACCAGCCAACCCCTGTGTATCTCCCTCGTCCCCCTGGACCGGTGAAGGACCGCCCGCTAATCTGTCCTCCAATCGCTATCTCGGGCCCCTCACCAATCTGTGCAATCGACCATTGCGGGCTGGTGTCGATGAAGCTGCTCCGTCGAAGTGGGAAGAGCGGTGGATGATGCCATGCCACAACGATCATGCGCAGGACGATGCCAGGGGTGCCCCCACCAATCCCCGACTCTGCCCCCCTCGAAGGTACAGACCCAGGATCTCCGTCCCGCTCAACGGACCGCGGGGCAGTGGACGTAGGCCTCTGATGCTCTAGAGGGCTCCCATGACGACTCCCTGACTCCTCCCCCAAATCAAGTCCAACGAAAAGGTCATCTCCGCCACTCCGTCTACGGACGTCCTCTGGGTCGCTCCACTCATCACGCTCATCTGCCGCACGAGTGGCAGTAGCGGGGCCCGCCCGCTCGTCCTCGTCCTCGTGACCCTCGGAATCACTGTCGTCTTGAGGGTACGGGTGCAATGTGGCGGCTCGAGTCCCAAAAACATCGCCCACTTCACCTAGAGGAGCTCTGGACCCACATGGGTCTCGCTGCCAAGAACGTCTCTGATCCTCGAGCTCCCGCGTCCTACTCTCCTCCGTCCCCTTCCACGAGGGGCGAGTCCCGATACCTCCCTCCACGTCCAACAAAGACTCATCTAGAGTCCACGGCAGCGCGAACCCGCGGTCTGCTCGCTGATGAGAGAGAAGGCGGACGTTGGCTGAGATCTCAAGATTCTCAACCAACTTCGCGACCTTCTTGAACTCAAGCTGGTTACGCTTCTTCGTCTGTACACCCTCGTGGACGACCCAATTCCTCTCCGCAGGAGAGAGGAGAGGAGCACGTCCACATGTACATCACACGAAGAGCAATAGCCTGCAACTGCGGGGCGCACTGCCCCCACTTCGACCACCAACACCCGGACTCGTACCTCTCCGCATCGCCCGTGCACCTTTGTGCCTCTCTGTCTCCGTCCCTCCCCCCCCATGCAATCGTCCTCCTCCGTGTGTGAAAGTCGCGCAACTGCGCACATGCGGTCTCGTACTCGGGGCTCACTACACTGAACCCTGTCTGCGACAAGATGTAAGTCTCTGCCTCCCTCACTAAGCTCTCGTCGTAGCCGCTGACTACGCCCTCGAAGTACCGCAAGTCCCGCCGGCTGGGACAGAGAAGGTGAGCAACGGCGTGCGCCGGCTTCAACATGTGAGCGCATCGAGCCTGCACCCTCTGAACAATGTAGTGTGCAAGATTGGTCGGAAGTGCACAAACCTCCTCTGCTACCTGGCGGGCCACATCCTGTGTCCACTCAACCACCCGCGACATGTGCAGCCCTCCACGGTCCAACCTGCGCAGCAGGTCGTACACAGGCTCCATGATACGGAACAGGATGCCCATGGAATCCCTCCAAGTGCCATGTCGCACCTGCCACCTGACCCACCTAGCCAGCTGACGAACGAAATGGTCCCAAGGGACCATACCCCAAGTATCGCCGTCCACCGTCCTCTCCAATGCTGACCTCACTGCCAGCAAACGCTCAATAATCGCGAACACGGATGCGAAACGTGTCTTGCACGGATAAATGAGGCCCATCTGCCTGCTCTCCCCCCGGAAGATATGGAAAGCGGCGCCGTGCTCCTTAATGAAGCGCACCACCGCTCTCCCCCTCACGATGATGTCCTTATACCACATGCCCGAACAGCCAATGTCTGACAAGATCTTGTAGCAGATATGCACTGCGCATGGGAGCCACGTGATCCGTTGATGCTTTGGCCTCTGCTCAGGCCCCTGGAGCATGTTCGCCGCGGCGACGTACGCCGAGGCGGAGTCAGTGCAGATGGCGTTCACCCACTTAGGGGGGACGTCATCAAACACCTTGATCCAGCGCGCCAACACATCAGGCGCCCGATCCCGCTCACCCTCCCTGTTCATCGTCTGGACGAGCATCACCCCACGCGACCCGCCGGCAAGGAGGTTAACGATGGGTCTAGCATCGCGTTGTCGCGCGCGGCGGTCCTGCAACCCGCTGAGGAGCGCTGAACCTCACGGTCGTGTCACGCAGGATGTTTCGCCAGAAAAGAACCCGTCACCACTCCGACCGTGCGCGTGTGCTATACCTTTCACGACGCCCTGCGACAGGTCGGGACGTCGCGAGGTACAACTTACCTCTACCCGAGGGGCTGTCACCACCCTCAGGTAGGCATATCCCTGCTGAGCTACAGACCCACATGCAAAGGCTTTTACATGCCTTTGTAGAGGTAGGTCGGCCGAGGGCGTTTGCTCGATCGCTGTAGCATAAAATGGGGTACGCGCGGTAAGACGCCTGGAACTAACCCGTTGGATATTCAGGTCGAACTTTTAAAAGGCTGTCTATTTCCGCTACTGCATAATGTAATATTCTCTTGACAATTATCATTGACAATTAAACCATCTGCCAAAGAGCGTCCTATCTTTCCTAACAGGTTATGGCTCAGCTGAACATCAAAATAGTATAAAAGTTAAATTGAACATATGATGAATACGGAAGTATTACCGCCGAGAACCCTTCCCAGTTTTACAAATGCTGTGTGTTCAAGACTCTTCAACAGACTGGGTCCAGTTCAATCCAAAGTCACGCACAAAACAGACCTACACAGAATAATGCAAAGACAGTTCACATGCCATGCACTAAGGGAGTCACCCATCAACCATTGACCTTGTCCCTCACTTCCCAAACCATGCATGACAGCCTTGTCTTTCCTGAGACGTAAGCCCAGCCCCCTCACACTTCTACAAAGGACCCTTGAGAGTGACCAGGACCATTTAGGCAATGACCACAGGTGACAGTTTTACTGACCACAGGGTTTGACTTTAGAGGTGGGTATCAAGTCAAAGGGGAAAAGTTGAATCGGTGACAACCGACCTGTTATCGAGAGATAACATAAATTTGGGTCCTTTCTGTAGAACCTCTTCCTTGAAATGCAGTAGATAAACAGGAACCTGCACACACACAGGTCAACAAAGATTCAACACCCCCACTCGATTCCCACATATTGACATCTAAGGGTCAAGCCCTTAGACATGGGTAGTGAGCTTTGGGATCGACATCCCATGTCTAATCCCTAGTCTTACTCTCACAACCCTACCCTAAGCCGTCTGTCACTTTCTCCTTTCTCTTAAGGAGTTTCATGCCTGTGTCCTAGGTCGTTTTAAGAGAAACTCATATTTTTCCCCACTCTCAGGCCTTGCGTTTTCTCTTTTGGGGATAAGCGCATCGTTTGGCGCTTACATAGATGAGATGTAACTCATTCATCGTTGTGGCCTTCCTTCTGAAAGCCACGGACGACAACGGACTACTTGGTAGTTCTTAAGTTTCTTTCTCCCGCGGTCCTATCTTCTTCCTTGTTACTTTTTCAGATATGTGAAGACCTTGCTCCAACAGGAGCACTATTCCTTCCTTCCTCTGCTATTTGTGTTAACATACTCAAGTAGTAGGCTGATTCAGACATGAATCTCTTGCTACTTGATCAATACCAAACAATCGGTTAATTAAGGCAGACAGTCGAGTAAGTCTCTCATGAGTAGTTGACTCTATGCTTAGTCTCACTCAATGTATACATAAGATCTGTTCAGAGTAGCAGGATAGCTTACACATGATTATCCTTCCTACAACAAATAGTTGAGGCTCCTACAGAAGCACCCTACTACTTGCTTTAGGTATACTCTCGAAAGATCCGGATGTCAATCCCTCCTCAGAGGCTAATAACGGTCTGTGTGAATAATAGGCGACCCGCACAAGAGCCCCCTACTATCACGTGGGAAGGTCCACTTCATGAGCGCATTTAGGGTAATCCTAACAAGGGTATCATGTTGCCCTTCCGAAGCTGACCGTCCTAAGACGGTGTTAGTTTGGACAGAAGACGAGAGTTTATGGTATTCCTACAGGAGTACCCTCTTAGAGAGTTAGTACAGAATCAAGTAGGTAATAGACAGACCCCGACAGAGGCCCCTCTACTACCTTCCTTGGGTAATGAGTAGTCCAACCGTTAATCAAGTAACAGGACGACTCCTACAGAAACCTCCCTATTACCAGTTTGGTGGTCGAACTATCAGAGGGTAAGTAAGATAAGAAAGGAAGAGTAGAAATGTGATTTCCTACTCTTTGCAGATTGTTAGTCATCCTTAGACTCGAGCGTGTGAAGAGGACGACCCTCCCTGGAACCTTCCTTATTATTTTGTAAGAGTCAGACCCCTCTTCCCATCACGACGACAGTCGATCCGGTAGATGGTAAGGTAACTCACATATGAGTACCTAGTCTACTTCATAAATTTAATGTTAGACATCCTTTCCCATCATGGCGACAGCCGATCTGGTAAGGTAGTGCGGCAACTCACACATGAGTGACTAAGCTAGCTCATAGTCAGTATCAGAACCCTCCTCCTGTCACGACGACAACCGATCTAGTAGAGAGTACCTATTTTAGTTCATAAGTATTTTGCTTGTACCCTCGTCCCGTCATGACGACAGTCGATCCGGTAGAGTACTTATATTAGTTCGTAAGTTTGGGTTCGTACCCTCGTCCCATCACGACGATAGTCGATCCGGTAGAGAGCCCCTATAAGTTATAGTCAGATACCCCCTTCCCTACACGATGAAGGTCGTTATGGTAGAGAGTACCTACTTTAGTTTATAAGTTATTGTTAGTACCCTCCTCCCATCTCGACGACAGTCGATCCGGTAGGGAGTACGAAATCTAGTTCATAAGTTATAGTCAGATACCCTCTTCCCGTCACGACGACAGTCGTCACGGTCGAGGATACCCCCTTCCCGTCACGACGACAGCCGTTATGGTCGAGGGTACCCGATTTAGTTCATAAGCTATTGTTAGTACCTTTTTTTCCCATCATGACGATAACCGATCTGGTAAGGAGTACTTGAATTAGTTGATAAGTGTTTGTTTTGTACCCTCGTCCCTTCACGACGACAGTCGTTCCGGTAGAGAGTGCCTAGATTAGTTCATAAGTTGTTGTTCGTACCCTCGTTCCCTCACGACGACAGTCGCTCAGGTAGAGAGTACTTAGATTGGTTTATAAGTATTTTGTTTGTACCCTCATCCCATCACGACGACAGCCGATCTGGTAGAGAGTACTTAGTTTAGTTCCTAGGTTAGTTGTTTGTACCCTCGTCCCCTCACGACAACAGCTGCTCAGGTAGAGAGTACTTAGATTAGTTTATAAGTAGTTGTTTGTACCCTCGCCCCCTCACGACGACAACCGTTCAGGTAGAGAGTACCGAGATTAGTTCATAGATTATCATTAGGACCCCCTTGCCGTCACGACGACAGTCGGACCGGCAGAGAGCAAGGTGACTCACACATGAGTACCTAATTGTCGACCTTTAGTCAAGTCAGAGCACACACAAGTAGTACGATGGCTCACACATGAGCCTCCACCGCCCTACTTTGTTCTTCGAGCCCTAACAGTCCAGGTTCCTTCTTAGTTGATTTAGGTTCCTTCCATTTCACCAGGCAGGATTCTTATTCCAATCATATATTCACTTCTCCTTTTGTTAACCTTAGTCCTGAAGAAAGCACAAACAATATATCTCACAGCCATACAGGTCGTCCAATAGAAGGGCGTAGCCTGTAAGGGTATATGGGAAAGAGTTATGTGACGCGTACCTCATAGTTCCCTGCCTCCAGAGTTCCTCCTGAACTCCGGCAGAGCTCCCGCAATCGCTCTGTTTATTTTGACCATCTGATCATCCGCATTCGATGAGATTCATACTATTTCAGAGAGTGGTGAGGACCAAGGAAATGAGGGGATTAGATTAGGGAAGAAATGGATTACGGGATAAGATTTATACTATTTCAGAGGAGGTAGATGTCGTCACACGGTGACGATGTCCCTCTCCTCTCCAGTACTCCACCTCTCTTCAAACCTGATCTTCCCCCACTTCCCCTATTGTCAATCAACAAAGAATTACAGACTGATGCTTAATAACAACAACAATCAATATTCTTGGAAAAATATGGAGACAAAAAGAAAAACTGAGGGGTTCAGATCAAAGGAGAAGGGAGAAGGGTTGGAGGAGGTAGATGCCGCCACACGGTAATAACATCTTTCTTCTCTCCGTCGTCCCACATCCCCTCGATTTCTGGCTCCTGATGCCTAATGATAGCAGTATCAATCATAAATGTCTAATGTCCAACAATAATAATAACACTAATAATAATAATAATAATAACAATAATAATAATAATAATAATAATAATAATAATAATAATAATAATAGGATTGTGAGTGATATACAAAACACCAAGTTGTGAGTCAGACAGATGTTATAAGTAAACGTGCATGAGTATAGAGTACAAATGCACCAAATATCCATCCAAATAGGGCAATACAATGAAGTAATGAGCCAATGTCCAGGCCCGTAGGCCATGTTGTCCTAATATATGGGATCACTCCTTGTTGTTGGGTGCCCGTAGGTTGTAGGGGTTCAGTCAGTAGACCTGTTGTTTGTAGGTCCTAGCGGTTCCTGAGGTTCGTAGTTGTTACGATCCCTAGGATATCAAGGTCGTAGCTGCTACAATATCGAAGGGTCAAATTCACAAAGTTCCGGAAGGTCCGGAAGTAACCCGCCAATCGTCGCTTGCGGCAGAACAAAAGCAAACGGGCAGGCGTGTAATCTGTCATGCTGAGTCTGCGGTACCCAGTCCCGATCTCATCAAAGTCCAGTTCGGCAGGGTACCGTATTGGACTGTGCATACTAAGAGCCTGAAGGAAAGGAGGCAGATCAATGAGATACAGAAGTATAAATCGAGAGGCAGTATCCAGTCATTTATTCATCCCCGCTGAAGGCTAAAGCCATGCAGAAGCGTTACCTGTGCGAGTGCGTCTGTCTGTCCGCCTGTTCGTATGCATGTGGAGTGAGAACGAAGGCGAGTCTGTTTGTAATTATGAACACAAATGATAAT